TACTAGTGCTCAACTTCTGGCTGGACTTAGGTTTCCACTCCTTGTTATGCTGGGAAGCTGTATCAAAGACGATGGTAAACTCTATCCTAAGATTTGATGAATTCCCTAAGTAAACACACACACATGGAAAAGAGGAGTACAGACATGCATGCTCGTCTAAGGAACACCATACAAAAAGTAAGGTAACTCAGTGTTTTTCTCCTTAAAACAAAAGTACAAAAAATTTAAAATTGAACTTTATTTTAAAAAAAAAACACGCTACAATACCTTTCTGATGACCCATAGTTGGTTGGTGTTGCCTGCTGCTATGCTGATTATTTAACGTTGATCTGCTGCCTGCCAGGCCAGGAATCACGGATTCATTCATTTGACTAAGATGTTCGCCTTTAGAAGTGGAGCCTAGTGGTTGAAATGAATCTGTAGAAGAACAATCCCTTCCAGTAACAGAATTTGTGAGAGACAGACTAGGTCCTGAAGACTGGTCTATGGAAATGTCTTTTAATTGCCTCCGAACACCTACTACCCCAACTTCCCGTTTTATAGCTCCAACTGCAGCAGATGATCTAGAATCTGGGGATGGTACATGAACTGGATCTGTGGAAGAAGAATATAGACCAACAGCAGCACCATTTGATGCCAACACAGCAGAACGTTGCTCAGAATCATTCGGCTTCACTAAGTTCGTATCTGGAATAGAACTCAACATGGAAACTCCCACATCATCCCTTAACTCTTTCTGGAACATTTCAGTTGAATAACCATCTCGTTGATTGTTGGGATGTGAATCAGTTTTCCGGAAAGACACTTGTGATATCCTACCACCAGAGGGCCCCTGTTCTCCTTTTGGGTTGATACTGATGATGAATAAATAGGTAAAATTAGATGTCCAGACATTGAATTCAATTAATATTCAAATCAGATCAATGAACAGATATTGACACAGAATAATCCACCTTAGAGAACCCAAAATAGGTTTCCAAGTCAAATGCTAAAATGAATATTCATCAGTGTAAAATGAACGTGCTTGACATGTTATTTGAAATTGAGCACATCAACACAATGCCATAAATACACAGAAGTCCAACATCTTTCAAGGCAGATAATGAACCCACGCATTACAAAATCACAGCACAGCTACTTGTTTAACATTGTTATTTGAAATTGAACACTTCGTCATGAAGGAAGAGGAGTTTTTGTAATAGCAAATCCCTTCATCAAAGATGAAAAGAGAAAGGCTACAAAATAAGCCCTACAAGAAATACTTCCATCCTATCCTAACCACTGAAAGCACCTTCATTCCTCTCTAACCATTGTTTACAATTTAATTTAATACCAAAACAAGGGCAGTCATGAGAAATAGATGTATATTTATAAAGGGTGAAACAAAAAATACTAAGCAAACTATAAAGTACAAAGATTAAAAGAAGAAAAGACGAAGAAAAAGAGGAGAATAAATGATGCATACCCTGTTTTTGACACAGTTGTAGACAACTCATTGGTGGATATTGCCAAATGTGGAAGTGCAGGTTTTACTTCTCTATGTGTATTTCGATTAACTCTATTGTCTCTTACAACGCGGAACTCTTTGCTGATACCTAGATTATGTAAACTAATCATCAAGTAGTTCAATGTGCATATTAGAGCAAGAAAACCAATACAATAAGCATAATAAGTGCATGCCGATAAACCATAAATCCATTCAATTTTTCATGTTCATCTCTGTCATGCATTATCTTTCTTCCGACTAAAATGAGGTGATGGAAAGGAGTGAAATCAAATTCTTTTGATTCTAAATGAGCAACCATACGTGTGAACTTCATCAACAGGCTTCAAAAATAAGTTTAGAATCTGCAGCTTATAGTGCTTCAAGAAAAATAATAGGCAAAGATTAAAAAGTACCAGGCCAAGAACTTTTTGCATAGGCCCCTCTCCGGACATTACGGTCAGACAATGTATATACCTTTGTCCCTTGTCTCACATCCTCAGAATGTCTTTGCGCATCCAATGAACCTTTGTACCCCATGTTCTGAGGACACAACACACCCACAACCTCAGTTTCCAGTCAACCATATTTCAAGGTAAACATTAAAAACTAGCAGCCATAAGAATTTTATTTTTAAAAAATAATTTCAAAGGGAATATAAAATGATATAGCTAGACACGAAATGAGCATGAGGAATACTGGAAGAAGAACTAAAACGGTCAATAACTCATAGCCTTGGTTTTTCTGTATCCGAACCGATTAGATCTATGGAATACGATCAGTTTGGAATTCAGGGCCTGTAGTATGGCAGACGGTTGCATAAAATTTAAAAAACATGACAGCAGTACTCTTCAGTGGACAAAACAACAAATTCTGAGAAGAGTAGAACAAATCTAGAATATTACTATTATGTCCATAAATAAATAAATAAATAATGCATACAGCAGAACAACCAAGATAAGTGAGTAGCTTCAAAAAAAGATGATGAAAAAAGTTGAAGAAAAAGGTAATCACGTACGTTGTAATGAAAAATGATCATAATAATTTATGGAAGAAAGAATATACATGTGGGACTTATTTACTGCTTATTATTACTCATAATAATTTTGTATTTAAAACTACATAATTCGACATTGCCACTATACCATCTCGGCCTTTCAAAACATCAGCCATTATCAAGGAAGAGAAGCAATTTGTGAAGATATAATTTAAAACATGCTGTATAACTATATCATATCTGTTACTGACAGCTGGCTGCAATTACTATAGAGAAAAGACAAATGATGTTTATGGCTAACGAAGAAACCAAACTGCGTGATCATACCTCCTTCTTCTTATCTCTTCTTCTCTTCACTTCGCGAAATGGATCTGAAAAATAACTAGTATAATGAGATAACTGAATTTATATGTGATTGAAAAATATGACAGAAAAATTACAGTCCATACAAATAAAAAGGTAGAAAAACGTACAATGAAATTATATATCCTTTTATACATCATATAAATTAAGTTCAAATCAGTGGCTTATTCTGGCTGATTACAGCACATCTCTATTTACTTGTACTGCTTTCTCTTCCACTTTCTTTAAAAAAATTCGATTTTTTATACCCAATATAAGTCGGCACAACTAATACATATAGATTATATGCATAGTACCAGAACATTGGTGTACCGGCATGGTTGGAAAACTAATGGCAGGCATAATTCCCAAAATATGAATAGTCAGTAATTCGTTGATCATCCCTCTGGTTGAACATGAACCCACAGTGTCTTGGTTGAATCAACGGCATTTTTATTTGTGATGACTATTTTAAATTTGCTTTTCAAGCACTAGAAGCAAGTATACTTTCCAAAACAGATAATTAGCTAAAAAACGAAGTGAAGGGAAAATAGGCATACATTCTCTACACACATCCAGCAAATAAATTAGATGCTAAAGACTTTCTCAAACTCTGCATTGAGCACTTGACCAAAAAAACTGGACGATGTCATGATGCAACGGTCGATACATAGTCCAATCTGGAAAACCAACTTAACTATCAAGTATCACCACACAAAAAAGATAAATAGCCATTGAAATTTTCTCAAGTTGTATAACAAAAGACAGAATCTAGCTAACGAACATAAGATGAACTGATACGAACATGGAGGGGAAAGAATCGCGTAAACTGAAAATTTCCTCCCAACTAATTGATGTCGCCAAGTGACTGCTAATTTCTCAGTGCAATCAACAAAATGATTTAAAAATTCAGGTAATTAATCAATCGTGGTAAATGAATAACATAATAACACAAAACTAGACTCGACTGTATCACCGGTAAAAAATTATCAGCTAGTTTCCGAAAATTAACGCAACTGGGCAACTTGCCACGGTGGGGTGGAAAACATCATCGTTAAATGACTTCCTAAATCATCAAAAACAAAATTTTGAATATCCCACTGCCCCAACAGAAGGAGCGTGCGCCCATTGTCCCAGGCAAAACACGCGACCCCCAAAATTAAAAATAAAAATACACAAAACAAAGCAAAACAAAAACACCCAACGAAAGAATGTGGGTCATCTTCACGTCTTAAGAACGATTAACTTTCTTAGCGTAAGGAGCATTGCAAACCATGAAAAAAAAAAAAAAGCAAAGAAAATCAAGCCAAGAGTGACGAAAGAAATACCTTGGTTGAGCAACTTCTGCGCAGTTTCATTAGGATCCATGTTGGTTTCCTTGAGAGTTGTGTATATATCAGCATCGGAGTGGTCGCCCACGATCTCTTTAATGGATTGGATGGTTTTCCGGACGCGAGCCGGGAGTATCTGAGTACCACCTTCGATTCTCAAGCCAGATACCATTTCCGACGGTATGGCGAAGGAGAAGCAAAGGAATAGTATGCGAAAACGAAAGGGATACTGATAATTAACGGCGAAGAAGGCTACAAATCAGACGGTGATACAGAATAGTAGAAGAAAGAAGGAAAATTTTGAATTAGGGTTTGCATTCGATGAAAGTCTAAGAACAGAGGACGGCTTCGGAGGGGGAGGGGTTTGGAACCAAGGGTTTTGAAAACGTTTTAACCCTCCCTCTTCAACGACGAGACATTGGGTTCGGCTTCATGAAAGTCGTTGCTTATATTTTTATTACCGTATACATCCTCCAACTTTGTCAAAATTGCAGAAAAGCCCCCCTCGCCGTCAAGGATTAGGTACATTTATCTAAGATTTAAATAATAGTATATATACATTTAATATTTTTTTTTAATTCATTTCTTAGTCGTAAAGTTGATTTTTGCATTTTTCAGGATGTTAATGTTCGATAACTTATTAAACACAAAATAAAAAACTTATGACTTAATAAACACTTTTAAAGATCGCTACCTGAATAATTTAATAATCATATGAAATAAATCAAAGAATCCTTAAATAATTGAACCTAAATAATTTAATAATCATATGAAATAAATCGAAGGGGACAAAATTGAATCAACAATGTCCTGTAATTCTATTTCTATCCCCAAACAATTTTAGTCCGCCAAAGAATCCTTAAATGCCAGCGCAGTCTACCCTTTTGCGCCCTTTCTCACACCCGAAGATCTTTTTTCTTCCATAGCTTGGAGCCCGCAACTCTCTCCTTCTCTCTCTCCCTGCGGCCTCTTTCTCGTCACCATCCTTGATCTCTCTATCTTTCTGCGTTCGTAGCACCACAAACAAACCCTAATTTTTACCCCAAGGAAGCAAGCAGCGTCCCTTCCTCGTCAGCACACTTCCATAAACCCTAACTGAATACACCGTCCCGGTTTTCATCCGCGGCTCCCTTTTTTTTGCAGCTAATTTAATTGTTTCCTCGCGTCTATTCAGGTGAGGATCATGTTTTGGATGCTGTAGTTTTGATTTCCGTTTCTTTTGCTTCTTTTTGCTCTGGACCTGTTGGTATTTTCTGTTTTCTCTATTGGAGCTTCAATTTCTAGGGGATTTGGTTTTTAGTGGCTTCGCATCTTTTGGATGATTTAAGAAAACGGACGATAAAATTGGAAAGAATATTGAAGTAAATAGGTTCGAGGTTCACTTTCATGAGCTGCTTGTTGAAGTTTTTCAATTTACCTTCCGGCACTTGGTAGATTTTTAAACTTTGAATTGTTAATTTTTCCTGTTTCGGTTGCATTTTCTTGCGGAAACATGATTTGATTTGATTTTATCGTTATTTTTCATTCCTTATCCGAATAATTCTACTATTCTTGTTTTCTTTTTGTTGTGTTATCAGTAGTACTATTTTTCACGATCCTGCTGCTAGACGTCGTTTATTTTGCTCTGTCTTCGAAATTGGTGTTTCGAAGTCGGAGAGATATTGCATGCGTGGACAGTATACCGTAAGTTCGGTAATTTAATCAATTTCACATCCATTCACATGTTTCTCTTTTAACACGTGCTTGTTTTACACCGCAAGATGATTGGCATTAATAAGAAAGTAGATTAATGTGTTTTCATCCGAATGTTGATCCGTTGTCGAGTTCTTTAATTGCATCTACTTTGTTCGATTTATATTTAGTCAATATTTCGTATGTGATATCATCTTCCTCAAAACTTATACTGACTTTTAATAGATAGCGCAACTTAATGTCATAATTACGTAAAGAGCAATTGTTTTGTTATTTCCACTAACATAGTACGTAATGGTTAGGTTATAGAAGTCACGTTTTTTAGTAAGACAAGGGTTTTCACTGATTATGCGTAAAAAAGAAAAAAAAGGAACAATAGAAAACTTCTTCACGACTACAACTTACATCTTTTTTTTTTTTTTTTTTTTTTTTT